CCTCACCACCTCTGGTATAACGTAAGAGCATAATAAACAGATAATAGCTACTAAATGAAGGGACAGAAACAAAGCAAAAAAGGTCTATTCCTTCCATAGCTAAACTGGTTCAAATAAAATATCAAAAAATCCATTGATGAGTAAATTTCTAACTCTTCCTTCTCAAGCATAGAAATTTGTCCCTTTCCCTTACATCCTTAGAATTAAATTCCCCCCTTTTTCTAGTACATTATTGCAAAAGCTAGGAACTTTCTTGACTGGAACTACTCTAGTTTGGATATTATTAGCTACTACTCTTCATTCACCTGTACCAGAGGCAGCAGCCATCTGGATTTAGCTTTCTGTTTCTTCCACATTCCACCTGTTCCAACACTGCCACTAAAACCCAAGCCAGAAAGAACACTCACTGTCTCTAGGTAGCTTGTGAACCAGTCTGGGGGCTTGTCTTGAGGCTGGTCTGCGTCACGTGGAGCAGGTGGAAACTGCTGCAAGTAAACACAATCGGAGATAGTTTTTTTCTTTTTCTGTTTAAAGTAAATCTCCTGAAATGTATTACTTTGAGGTTTCCATTGCCAAATAATATAAATACATGGTCCAAAAAAATGAGCATGAAAGAGTATAGGAAAAACCGAAGTCTTTATGTCAAACTGCTCATGCTCCTCTCCAGAAGTAACCACTGTTACTAGTTTCAAAAAGTCAGACGGAGACAGTCACAACAACTCCCAAATCTTTGATGAACAGCTCAAATCTTAGACTAGAGACAATGAAACATAGGTTAGAAAAATCATAGAGACAGGTCCATTCCCTTTGTACCTGTGCTGCAGGCTCCTCCGGGGTCTTCATGTCTGATCCCAAGACTCTCACCAGTGAAGAATAATGTGCAAGCGGCTTCTTCCCTGTCCTTGCAACTGGTCGTTTTTCTGCTCCAACTGGGGGTGGGGCTTCGTAGACAACACGATAGCCTTCATGGACCTGCATCTGCAGTTGGTTTCCCTGCTTAACTGCCATCTGAGAGCATACGTTATGAAATTAAAAACAATATTGTGTGATTCTCCTTTCCTAAATAAAATTTCAAAGACACCTAAACAGAAGAGGTGTGGTAAAATATGCTGGAAAATATCAGATTCATGCTTCTTTTATTAAATCAAATAACAAATATGTTAACAGTCTGCTGTTTCTTGGCCAAGAATGTTAACTAGGAATGGTTTTGTTAAAAACAAAAGGGTTTTAGTGTAGCTCTTCATTAGGTGAGATGTTTTAATTAATTGGGTTACTACTTTTCTGTTTAACTTTTTAAATTTAAGTGTAATTGACATATATTAGTTTCAGGTTACAACATAATGATTTGACATTTGAAAATGTCAAATATACATTGTGAAATAATCACCACAGTTTGTCTAGTTACCATCTATTAACTGGTTTTTACGTAGGACTCCACTTACAGATTCTAATTTCAACTTTTCAAAAGTCAATTCTAGACCCAGGAAACTTAAAGCTATGTCCAAAGTTAAGCGTCTACCTTCCCACTAAGAATAGTATTTTGGAAAGCATGCTTAAGTGGTCACCTCTTTTTGAAGAGCATCTTCTTAAATATCCTATTTTGAAAACTCTACTTCAAGGAGCATTTGAGATTCCATGAAGGTACTCCAGCGTCCAAGAAGAGATTAGGGGGTCAAGTCCGTGGG